AAAGTGGGCTCTGTACTGATAGGCTGACAGCAGCGAGCCCGACGTGGAGCTCAGACCCACGAACTGCAAGATCATCACCTAGGCCGAAGTCAGATGCTCAACCGAATGAGCTACCCAGGCGCCCCCATCTTATAATGTTTTTAAAAAAAATAATGAGAAAGCACTGAGATCAAATCGTTTTCCTGTGATAGGGTTGGACTAAGAGTTTCACAGGTCCTCTGTTAAAAAATAATATATAATAAAAATGCAAAGTTTATTCTTACTATGAATACACTGTGACAAGACTATAACGTCAACAACATGTAAAGTGGCCTCTACCTGATAAGACATTTAGTAAGAGAAAATGTTAAAAGGGAACACAAAATAACTGCCAAATGAAAATTACCTAAAATATATGTAAAATCTATATCTAAATCTAAAATATATGTAAGATCTAAAAATTATCTACCTTAAAATGTTACAACACAGCATTGACTGCCCCATCAGATGATCTTGTTTCATGGTAACTATTCCAGATGTGGAAAAATGTCTCCCATTTTGCCCTCAGGGTTTAATCCACAACTGCCTCCGAAGGCATCTTCCAATTGGCATACATCTTATTTCGTATAAACTCATTTCTTCTTTTAACAACAAAAATACTGTCTGCCTGACTTAATCTTGGGTTTGCCACTGAAATGGATATTGCGTTTTGCTCATTTGGGTTTGAGATTGCTTTCTGATTTCATGTCAAACGACCTCACAACATGCACGTGTTTTTCCTTTGCATTTCTTCTGTTAAAAGTATTTACAAAGAACCTGAGCCTACAGTGAGTATTCAAGCACTGGAGAATGCCAGTAAGTATCGTTGGGTAGTATTTGAATGAGGTAACATTCAAGGTTAAGGTCAACAGCATTACAGAGAATCACATGTCAAAACTGCCAACGTAAGCACTTACTGTGCCTCCAACGTGTGCTGTTTCTTGGACCACCACTCAAAAGGATTTACGTGAAGTATGTTATATAAACATACTAACACGTATTTTATTTGTAAGAGGGGAGCGCACACCCATTTGTAACCCGGCATCACCCACAAAGAAGATCCTTCAGACCGTTGCTTCTCCGGCATGTGCATTCACCATGGTTCCCAGAGCCCTCCTCCTTAACCTCCCCGACTCCGTAAGCACCCCCTACCCCTGCCATTAGTGGGCTCTTCCGAACCAGGAACGTATCTGTGTGGACCATCACGCCTGGAGGAGAATGATGCTGTTCTCTCTTTTCCTGAGATCTTTAACGATTTTTCTCAGATTCAGAATTTGGAAAAACATCAATGTCCCACTGACTGCCAGCAAGGAATTCCCCCATGGAAAGACCAACGAGACCTATCCTCCCCTAGGACACAGAAGGCTTCGGACTCCGATTCCAAGCTTCTTTCTACTACAGGAGGAGACCCAGCCAGCAGTCTCGCTGGTGAGAAATGAGGGTCTGACAGGAACCCACAGAGGGTAAAGTATGAAGCATCAGCCTTGGGAATCTGAAGTCCTGAGAGAAGCTGCTTGGGAACTTGGCAAGAATGGACGAAGACAGAAACGCACAGGGTCATACAGAGCGAACAGGAGGTGCTTCCGAGGCCACTGCATCGCAACAGAGGCGAGGAGAGAGGACAGAGCAGCTAGAACAAATGCATGTTTTTCATGAAACCTGCAAACTTTTGGTGTTTAAAGAAATTAACGGAGTAGTAACTGCTTTGATTTATGACCACCTGTTTACTGGACAGTACATGAGGGCTTTCCGCGTAAGAAACACGACACCTCTCAGGGCTCGTCCCTGAGGGATGTCACCCAACTCCTACATGATCTCACTTGTCTTTATTATGCCAGTGACGGTCACATTTATTTCTAGCCCAGACCAGACTTCCCCACTCAGCTCACACTACTTGCCCTTGGCTGTTTCATGGGGTTCCCAAACTCTACACGTCAGAGCTGACCCGGTCTCCGCCCTGAACCTGCCTCTCTTCTGGATCTCTTTCCATTTCCTTTCTTTCAATGTTTTATTGTAGACAAATTCAAATCTCTGCAAAATTACAAAGAATAGTAAAATACACTCCATGAACCCATCATCCGGCATCAACAATGATCGGGCACAAACACCGGTACCTCACAGAGTCTAAGTTCCTAAGGCCTTCTTCTCCCCACCCCCAGCCTCACCAACCCATGCCATCTTCCATTTGACCACCCAAATAGGCCTAGCCATACACTCACACTCTTCTTCCTTTTAAGCTCTCTTTTATACGATACAGATCGTTTAGAAAATAAAAATCTGATTGTATCGATTTCGCGTTTGTTACCACCATGACCTGCTTTCCTCTTGCCCCTAGGACTAAGGCAGTGTCATTAACATGGCTTTCAAGGTCTCCTGGCCTGGCCAGCCGGTGCCTGCCCTTTTACTTTCCCTGTGCCACCTTCCCTTCTTCTCAAGTCGTACCAGACTTCTGGGTTCTCAGAACGGGCCATGTTTATGCTCACTGAGGGGCTTCGCTCTGTCTAGGACCCCCTGCTTATTAGTTAGCTTCAGCTCCTCCACTGGCTTCAAATACTTCCTCGGGGAAGCTCTCGGAACTGGCAGGACAGAGCAGGCCTCCTGTTACACGCGACACCCGAACCCCCCCCCTTGCGAGTCCCTGCTACTGGTGGCCTCTCCTGCCGGGCGTAAGCTCGAAGAAGCCTGCCGGGACCGTGTCCACCTTGCTTAGAAGCATACAGGGTAGTGGCACTCACCAACTCTTCTTAACCAACTGAGCCACCCAGGCATCCCACCAACTCTTCTTAAACGGCTGGATCAGAAACCAGGATGATCATGACTGAAATACTACCTTTTATCCCATACACGACCACTAAAAAAATAATCCTAAAGACCAATTTCACCAAAAGAAACATATGGAGCCTCACTTCCACTTTCCCATCTCCCATCTTCCTTAAAGCAGCACCGCACACACAGCAGCTGAGGTCTGAGGGCATCGTCTCACGGAGAGCTGGTATATGGTAGGACTTCTCAGGATCACCTGTGACCCTAACGTTCTAACGCCGCCCAAAGAGGTACGCTGGGGGGTGACAGGCTCGAGAGGCTCACCCTCACCACTTCAGGTACGTAAGGTGGTGCTCTCCAGGCCAGCATCGGATGTGACCCATCCCCAGAGACGTGCTCTCACCTAGAGCTACCTCTGAGGGACACCTGACCCCCACATCTCCCGTCCAGCCCGGACTAAGGCAGCTTTACGAGAGCCTTCTGAGGATGGCCGTCACCACCCAGCACCCACAGGATGTGTGGGGCCCTGCCAGACACTGTGTCACAACCTCACCTGGAGACGATTATTCTTGAAGAAGGAGAAGAAACCAAGTCTTGGTTAATGAAAACACACCATGCAGAGTAATTCTACGCCCCCCCCCCCCCCCCCCCCCCCCCCCCCACCCGACCCCCGAGCATTAGCATTTGGTCCTTGGAGAACATCATCTCCACACCCAACACAGAGAAGCCAAAGTTTCAGGAAAGGAACAATCACAAACCAGCCACTACAGAGAAAAGCAGGTAAGAGTCTGTGGGCACACAGATTACCACCGTGACCATTACCTGTGGGCAGTTTTAACCCTAGACTGGCGTTCCCCCTTCCCCCTATATCTGAGGTTTTCCCTCCTCTACGGGTCTCTGTGCGCTCAGGGAGTAAGACTAATTTTTGTATTAAATAATAGGCAAAACCCAAAACACTGGAGACAACAGAGGCGCCTCACATACCACCTAGCGATGTGACAGTCTCGTACTTTTTTATTGTTTTTTTTCTCTTCCATCATCTAATCTCTTCTGATAAGCAGAAATCACCAGTTGTTCTGAGTGTAGAGTTGAAAATACCAAAACCAAAAGACCTACCAATTTTAACTAGTGCTTCATGTTCTCATCACTGTAACTTCTGTCCACCTGCTACTTTTTGCTTCAATCACATATATTTATCTTGTAATCATGGCTCTGATTCCAGTTATGTAACTGGGTGGGCTTTCATCACTGACCCTGGCTTCT